ATGCTCAAGTGAGAATAAATAGGTGATGGGGGTTTCAACTTATGAAGGCAAAAAATTGATAGATTATATTCTTATTTTAATCTCTTTTGCTGGTATTATGATTGTTATTTCAAATTTATTTTGAACAGTAAAGATCTCTTCGGATAAAGTATGGAGAAGTTGAAGAAAATTGGAATTGTAAACTCGAGAACAGCTGTTACACATACGTTTTTTCACCGAAATATTTTCTTTTTATTGTTGTGATGTTGTGCTTTTAGTCATTGTGCTACTGTTTTTCCAAGGAAATTTTTCGTACTTCTTGTGATGTGTGTGTTTTCTTATCTGTATGCTTTTTCCCCTTTCAGAGTAAGTTTACATATTTTTGATATGTTGTCGTTCAATTTGTGAGACTTTGAGTTTTCATCTAACAATTTCTGCATAAATAATGACAGATAAGGTATTGTTTTAACTATTTGTTAAAACTTCTTGACTGCTGCTTGAGTTTTGGTTGGAATTTCGGCGTATGCAAGTACTGCTCTCTTTCAAATCATATTCTAACTAATGTATTGCGATGAACCATCTGTCGATAATGTCTAAGGTGTATCCAGAGGCGGATCAAGGATTTGAATTTTATGGGTTCATACTCATTATATTGTTAAAGTTATGTTTTTATATATTCTATTTGTTCCTATTTTAGATAATTTTTATATATAAATTTATGCTCCGGGTCGAAAGTATTGGGTTCAGATGAACCCGACACCGCTACGCTGGATCCACCCCCGGGTGTATCTGCTCCAATGCTTAGTACATCTCCATTACTGTTTCTTAAGGTCACAATTTTTCTTCCATGACAACTTATCTTAGAGCTATGAGATAGCACTCAGATTAAACATGTTTCAACAACTTTATCCACCATATGACTCTTTTACAAATAGAATCAGATATATCTGCTGGATCAATTCTATAAATCCTTCTTGGAATGCAATTTACAAGTCTGGTCACGGAAACAATTTGAAAGGCTAAAAAAGCACTTTCATTCTAGAATACCTTTTGGGAAAAGTACTAACAATTCAAGATTAGTACTTTTTCCTTTAATCAATGACCCTCGATCCATTTGAAGTTAAAGTTTTCTTGATTTTCTAGAACTGATTAACTTGGTTCAAGGAATTAAAATTTGCTAATGGACTACTAAATGTTATGTTACCAATAAATGAACTCTCAGATAAGAATTATGCTAACTAATGAGAATATCAAGTAGAGCTGTTTCTGCCTTTCAAGGAAAATTATAGTTGTGTTTGTATTGCAAATGTTAACTGAAATTTACTTCCTTAGCTCAATAATTATTGAAAGCATATCAAATTGTGGACGTTGATCGGTGAGGAGGATATAGGGTTTTTTGCAGGTTGAGAGTTATTGTTGTTGTTGAATTAAAGCCAAGCACGGTGCACAACTGAAATGTGAAGGAGAAGAAAATAGTGGGTGGTTGAGGCAGAATTCCTCAAAGTATTCATTAGTGCAATACCTATGTTTTAAATTCTTATTTTCTTAAGTTGTTATTTGTAGTATTTTTGTTTCTTAAATGGGAGTAGTATAATATTATAAGTACTCTAATTTTTTATACTTTTTTTTAATTTAATATAAAGTGTATGAGTAAGAGTATTTCTTCAAAACCTCTGTTGATGTTATTTGCTTCAAAAGATACTTGTATTAGTTTCCTGCTGCTAAAGCCAATGTCCAATGTAACCTTTCAGATAGTAAGATTGAGAAGTCGTTTCATCTGGATGAAGTTAAAGGTGTTATATTTCAATTTTTGGCTTTTATTTTCAAGTGCTTAAAGATGATATTTTAACTTATGTACACTATTATTATCATTAAAAGTTAAAAGAGCGTACGTTTAAATAACAAATGTAGTTTACCAGTTGTAATGAGTTATTTGCCTGTTATAATTATTTATGGTAGAATCACAAAGAGATGATTGATTAGTGTAAATTGATTCTTTATAAGAAATAGTAGATATATTTTATTTTATTTTTCTTATTGATCGCGCAAAGCGCGGGTTAATTGACTAGTTGATAATAAAAGCTACTTGAAGTAGGGTATACAAACCGAACCGGAAAACCTGATGTTTGGCTATAATTCCATATTTTTAGTGCATTACTTACCTTACATTTTGGGGCTTTAATACTAAACTATATTTGTGCTTAATTGAGTTTATTTTATGTGTAGGTACGTGAAAGACGAAATTAGGAGAAAGGAGAGATTTTATGTGTATTTTATACGCTACAAGATTGGAGTTATGATTATTTGATTATTGAATATACAAGGATTAAAGTTGAATATTACAAAGGGAATCAAAACAAAGAAAGAAGAGTTGAAAGTGGAACGAAGCAGTATAATCTTGTCTTATATCCAAATGCTTCTAATCAAAGGCAAGAAACGAGAATGAGTGTACTGTAATGAAAGTTAGGCAGCAATTCAAAGATGTAAGAAAAAGCAGGCGATGCGAGATGTAATGATCCCGATAGAGTGTGCGGCGCGAGCAATTTAGCTCGCGTTTGAGCTGGCGACGCGAGATGCCAAGCGCGCTACAGGGCTGGCGACGCAAGGCCTGAGGCGAGGTGTTGTGCGCAGAGATCGCGAGGCACGATCTGTAGCGAGCTGGTTCCGGATTTTTAAAGCCTATTTTGTATTTTACTTAGTTTTGGACTTGGTTAGTTCGTTTGAGTCTTTTCCCTGCACATATAAATAGTCATTAAACACCATTTTTAGATAAGTTTGGCGACCGGAGGCAAGAACATCACGTGGATAATTTTTGGAGGAGAAAATCATAGAGTTCTTCATCCCTTTATCTTTTTTTTTTTTGTAATTTGTTTATGCAAAATACTTAGAAAATTGTTACTACGAACATGAGTGGCTAAGCACTCTACATTCTAGGGTTGTGGTTAACATGATTATTAACATTTATTAATTACATCTTCGTTAATTCGGATTATCATCTTGTGGTTGTTTCTTTAATTCTAGTTTTAACTTGTGAATTGTTGTAGCTACCAATTCACCCTACTATCTATGCTATGCTTGGGAAAGACGTGTTTAGATTAGAGTGGAATTAGAAAGAGCTTATTTCGGAACCCGTGGCTCGGGGAACGATTTGGCGGTTAGGATAGAAATATACCTAACAATTTTGCTTAATTAAATGCCATATTATATTCGTTCATGATAGACTCAATACCATAGGAATATAGGGTTGATATGTGGGTAGGCGAGTAGTATTGTGGGAACATGCTATTCATATAAACGATCCGATTAATTAGCAACCATAGATAATCTGGATTAACGAGTGTGATTACTGAACTTAATATGATTGATAAACCAACCACAACCCTGGAATTTTAATCTCCTCTGAAGTAAAATCTCATCATACACATTTGCATTCTTGATAATTTAGTTGTTATTTGTTTAATTTTCGCAATAGTAGATTAATAGAAAAATATTACTCTTAAATATCTTGGACAATTAATTGATTTTAATTCGCTTAGTTAACGATCAATCTAAGTCTCTGCGGGCTCGACATCCTACTTTCGAGTCACTTTATTACTTGACAGTCACGTATACTTGCGTGTACTTGGGAAACCAACAAGTTTTTGGTGCCGTTGCCGGGGACATAGTTATTGATTATTTAGTTAAGTTAAGCTTTTATTCATTATTTGTTCAAGTTTTAATTTTTAGCTTGCTTTATTTGTGATAATGCAGGCTCTTCTCTTGAATGCAGAGGAGTAGAAGGCAAATAATCCCCTTCCTCTAGATCCTGAAATTGAACGAACACTTCATAGAGTGAGGAGGGAAGTTGAAACTAGAACTAGAATTGAAAGAGAGTTGGACATCATAGTTCAACCACAACCAATAGAGATGGCAGGTAATGAAGAGCGTTCGGTGATAGAAGCTTCAAGGCCCAATTTGGCTCTTATGCCTCAGGCGATTGTGAAGACTGAAATTACGGGTCACTGTGAACTCAAACAGTACATGGTACATCTTATTCAATCCACAAGGAAATATGTGGGTCTATCTCATGAAGACCCGCAGAAGCACATTCAGAACTTCTTGGAAATTACAGACACTTACAATTATCCGAACACTTCCAAAGACTATGTCAGGCTGACAATGTTTCCCTTTTCACTGATGAGGGAAGCTAAGGAATGGTTACAAAAGGAGCCCGCGAACTCAATCCACAATTGGGATGATCTAGCAAGGAAATACTTAATCAAGTTTTTCTCCACAAAGAAGACAAAGTCACTTAGGAGCCAGATTCTGGGGTTTCAATAACGAGATGGTGAGACCCTTCGACAAGCTTGGGAAAGATAAAAGAAGCTACTAAGAGATTGCTCACACCATTGTTAGACTGATGAGGTGTTGGGTCACACTTTCGTTGATGGGTTGGACGAGGCATCAAAGATGAATTTTGACTCAGCATGTGGGGGTAGTTGCATGGCAAGACCGTATTGTGAGATCCAGATCCTGCTAAACAATTTCACTGCTAATGATAACAAATGGCACGAAGATGGGGAACCACGAAGAGTACTTAAACAAAAGGCAGCAGGTTTGATCGAGCTTGATGAATTCTCAGCAATGAGGGCGGATATAGCGAGATTAGCGAATCAGATGAATAAAACGACAATGCACCAAGCACAACAAATGCAACATGTGAAAAGATGTCTACTTGCTGCGAGTTATGGAGTGAAGGTCACACAAGTGACATATGTCTCATGAATCCTGAATCCATCTACTACGTGGGGAAACAAGCTAGAGGGCCGATGAATCAAAATGCTCAATATGGTAACACATCCAATCCGAACTGGAGGAATCATCCTGACTTCTCTTGGGGTCAGGCCTCAGGCAATTACAATCGTCCACCTCAACCCCCACAACAAATAGAGGAGAGTTTGACTGATATGATGAAAAAACTCTTGATATACAATAAGCAATTGCGCACAGATTTTAGAAATCTAGAGAGGCAGTTTGGGTAGATGGCTAAAAGTCAGAATAGTAGACCTGCTGGAGCTCTTCTAAGTGATACAGAAAAAAATTCACAAGTCAATGCAGTAACGTTGAGAAATGGGAGAAAGTTGGTAGAAGTGCCTAAGAAGAAAAAAGAGCAATCTAGGCTCGAAGAAGAAAGAGTGCCAAAACCTATAGAGGTAGATGGGAGAAACAGAACAGAGTCTGAGCAAAAATCAGAGAGGGTGACACCCCCTTTTCCTCAAAGATTGAGAAAGAAGAATGATGACCACATGTTTCACAAATTCCTAGATATACTGAAGCAGATACATTTGAACATCCCTTTGATAGACATGCTCTGTGATGTCCCAAAATATGCAAAATATATTAAGGACATAGTGACAAATAAAATGAGGTTAATCGAGTTTGAGACCATAGCACTTACTAAGGAGTGCACTTCCAGGATTCAACATAAGCTTCCACAAAAGCTTAAGGATCCGAGTAGTTTTACCATCACCGTGAGGATTGGTGAATTTAATGTGGGTAGAGCCTTGTGTAGTTTGGGTGCAAGTATAAATCTGATGCCGTTGTCAGTGTTCAAACAATTGGGCTTAGGAGCTCCGAGACCCACCACAATGTTGCTACAGTTAGTTGATAGATCTTATGTTTATCCCGAAGGGTTAATTGAGGACGTCTTGCTGCAAATTGGGAAGTTTATTTATCCTGCAGATTTTATCATCCTAGATTACGTGGCTGATGAGTTGGTTCCTATCATCTTGGGACGACCTCTTTTGGAAACTGGAGATGCAATTATCAAAGTCCGAGAAGGTAAAATGATCCTGAGGGTAGACAATGAAGAAACATTCTTCAATGTATATCGAGCCATTCAACTGCCTAGTCATTACGAGGACTTGGCCATGATTTCGGTGGTGGAGATAAATGAACTAGCCGTAGAGCCAAGAGAGTTAAAAAAGATGCATTAGAAAAGGCATTGATGTTGTTCAATCACTTAGAACGTGAAGAAGAGGTTGAGGAGATGTTGTACATTCTGGATGCATCGTGCGAATACATAAGAGAAAGAACCTAATTTGAGCCTCAGGATAGGCCAATCGGCCCGCCTCCTAAACCCTCAGATGAGGAGGCCCCAAAATTGGAGCTTAAACCCTTACTATCTCATCTTCATTATGCATATTTGAGAAATTCTAGCACTTTATCTGTGATTGTTTTTTTCTCATTTGTCTGAATTGCAGGAAGAAAAGCTCTTAAGGGTTGTGAGGGACCACAAACATGTCATTTGTTGGATGATGTCTGATATAAAAGGTATTAGCCCTGCATTCTGCATGCACAAAATACTCATGGAGAAGGGACACAAGCCTAGTGTGGAACATCAACGCCTCCTCAATCCAATCATGAAAGAAGTGGTAAGAAAAGAAGTAATTACGTGGCTCGATACAGGTAAAGTATTTCCTATCTCCCCGATAGCAAGTGGTTAAGGCCTCATTTGTTTGCACTTAACGAGGGTCTGAATCTAATGATCCTTATCTAAGCCCATTAAGTGCATTTGTTTTTTTGTTTTTTTGTTTTTTTTGCGTCTGGACTGGTCTGGATCGGCCAGCCCTTAAACCTAGTCTTAATAGCGGCCAGCCCCTTTAAAACACGCTTTTATATTTCCCAAAACTTAACGCTTCTTTTTTTTCTCAGGCCTCTCTTTCCTTCTCTCTCTCCAACTATCAGTCGGCTACCCAAATCCTTTCCCCCTGAAGACTTTGAACTGGTAAGATTTCAAAACTTTCACAAGTATTTCATCTATTAATTTGTCATATTCATTATATTTTTTATGACGGCTTGTTTTTATAAAGAACTCTGTGAAATTTTGTTCTCCAAATTTGATTCATTAAAGTTCAAAGGAACTTCATAAATATCTATATATTGTGAATTATGTGGTGTATTAGAATTGTAAGATAGGCTCTCTTTGATGAACAATATTTTAATTGTTGAAAATATAGGATTCCATGTGTATGATCGTTCTCAATGTCGTTGTAATATCTAGACAAGAATTAAAATTTAGTCGGGACAGTCATGTGTGTATGAATTTTATAATCTAATATTCTGATTTCTGTTCTCCTTTTTCTTCAGTTCACTTAATATTATAAATTCTAACACATATTTTGGTAAGGGGAGTGGGAAAAGTTTGACTTTTTATTAGAATTGCTATGATGGGATTTGTATGAGAAACTTTAGAGTTGAGTCCAAGATAGAATTTTCCCCCTAATTTTGTTGTGAAAATCTGAAGCATTTATGAGTATGAGCACCTAAGGTATATTCCCACTCCATAGGCAGTTAGGGATTGTTAATGAGGAGAGTCTATGGAATTATGATACTGCATCATATATTACTTCGGCATACTGACTGTGATCATTAAATTTTCCTTACGAAAATGGCTTTTTATAACCTATGAAAATTAGTCAAAGATATAATACATCATAACAGAATTAAAAAATAGGCACGAGCACATGGTATACCAACAGTGAAGTATTTCCTATAAAAAAAAAGGGACTTCAATCGAAGGAATGATTCTTTTCAATTAAGTTGTACGAAAGGTAGAGATATGATTCTTTTCTCAAGTCCTCGCGATTTTAGTTACAAAAGGAGTTTTTCTCAGCATTGTGGCAGCTGATATATAAATAATTATGCAGTTTGTGGGATCTATCCATGATTCCCAGAAGATAGTGGAAGTTGGTTAACGGCTTTTATATATATACTAATCTTTAATGTATGCGCAATGCACGTGTATCGATATCAATGAATATATAATTTTAAAAAATATAGATATTATCAAATAATGTGTGTAAGTTACAAATAAAAAAAGGTGTAAGTCTTGAAAATAATGAATACTAATCTCACCTAGCTATCTCTAAAAACTTGACAAGTTACAATATAAAGTCAAAAATGGCTAATATTAATTTAATTTTTTTAAACAATTAACTTAATATGTTAAACATATAAGGAGTTTTCATTTATTGGAATAAATGCAAAATAATAATATTAATAATAACAATTAATGCTTACTCATTTAGATATATTTTATCTTTTACTGTCTTACCCTTATTGTTACAAGTTTGTAAATTTATCAATTTTGGACAAATAATATGACCTTTTACTTTTGGATCTTTGTGTGTATAGATTCATTACAGTTATTAGTCTCATTGACTTAATGTGTCAAAAACAATAAGTAAATGTAATTTTTGGAATAAATGCAAAATAGAAAGAAAAGTAGGTAAATGTGATTAATTGAAATTTATTTATAATTTTTTTTGTCTTCTATTGTTTCATCCTTATTATTTCTAACTTGCTCTTTTTTCTAGTTTTCTTTCACCATCAATACTATTCTTATGGAAACGATTTTAGTTATCCTTTAACTTGAATATTAGTTACTTGGAAAATGATTGGGTTCTTTTTATGATTAATTAATTCGAAAATTTAACTATTTTTTTCTAAATATTTAAGGGACTAATTTAATTTTTTAATTCAAATTTTAATTATGATCTCTTCCCAGTATTTAATATTTCACTATAACATGAAAGGAATTACATTTATATTGCATTCTTCAAATAAGAAACAAATTTATATGGTGAATTTGGAGAAGATCTAAATTGGGTTTTAACTAATTAGTTGATACAAAGAAGTTTTTTTGTTAAATTAGTTTGATTACTTATTTATTTTGTTATCAACATTGAATTAACTTTAAGTAATATATCAAAAAACAAAGGGAGACAACTTAAGCCTCAATGTTAACATTTATGTAAGTTATTGACTTATTTATTTTGTTCTCGAATGTAAGCCACAATATTAACGTTCGGAAATCTTTAGTTGGGTGAGATTAATAGTTCTAAATATTAGGACCTCTTACCTAGTTCAATATGTAAAGATTTAAGTATTAAAGTTTTAGTTGACCTAAAAATCCTAAATATTAGGAAAATATTTTAAATTACAATTCTATCCAATGTGAAATATATTTTTAAAGGGTTAAAAAGGCGAACGATATTTCGCTAAGATCTTCGTGCTTTTAATATAGTATAGACAGATATATATTGTAATTAGCCTATTTGCTTAATTCTTAATTAAGATAAGGTATCTATCTTTGCTTCTGTATATATCTGTATTTTATTTTTTGTTAATTGTCCTGTTTGTGTTTGTCAAGGCCTTTCGCTCAAGCATGTCAGATTGTCAGTTTTCATAGAGTTTATCCAATTGAAGGTATTTGTGTCATTAATATCATAAATACTTAGTTTCTGGTGCCATAAGGAAACAATATGGAGAGTTGTAGACTCCATGGATGATTGCCAGTTCTTGGTAGGAAGTCTGTTATACTTGTCTTTTGTAATAAATATATCAATATTCTTTTTGGTTTGATCGTAATTGTGGTTTTGGACTGTAAAGATCCGATCGGTCGTTTTGAGTATTTATACTTCCCTCACCAGTTCTCGGGCATGACTAGCCCCGTATGATGTATTGTGACCTATGTAAATCGTCGGTTTTGGTCTTTAGGTTAATCGGAACAGATATATAAGAAAGATTCTCAACTTGAAGCTTTAAATTTGAAAGATTTAACCAAGTTTTGACTTTTTAGTATTCGATCTCGGATTTGAATTTTTATGATTTGGTTGGCTCCGTTAGGTGATTTTGGACTTGGAATAGCATCCGAAATGTAATTTGGAGGACCATGGTAGAATTAGGCTTGAATTGGCCGAATTGAAAATTTGGCGTTTTCTGGTTGGCAGTAGAAATCTTGATATCAGGGTCGGAATGGAATTCCGAAAGTCAGAGTAGGTCTGTTGTGCCGTTTGTGACGTGTGTATAAAATTTCAGGTCATTCGGATGAGATTTGATAGGTTTTTACATCGTTTGCGAAATTCGGAAGTTTGGAAATCCTTAGGCTTGAATCCGAGGGTGATTTGGTGTTTTGGTGTTGTTTTGAGGGTTCCAAAGGTTGGAATAAGTTTGAAAGGTGATAGGTGACTTGTTCGTATTTTTTGCTGAGGTCCCGGGGGCCTCCGGATGATTTCGGATAGTTTTCGGAAAGTTTGAACTTGACAAAATGCAGCTGGTCTTGCTGCTTCTGTCATATCCGCACCTGCGGATTGGGGACCGTAGGTGCGCGCTCCGCAGGAGCGAAAAAGAGGCGCAGGTGCATGGAGGACCACAGGTGCGACTTGGTAAGCTACTTGGGCCTTATATCTTGTGTTTATGGCGATTATTCCATTATTTAATCATGATATTAGTGGAAAAATTTGAGAAGAAATTGGGAGATTAGCGCTTGAAATTAGATAGTTCAAATTGGGGATTCGAGGGGCCATTTGGGGTCCGATTTTAATGATTTTGGTGTGTATAGACTTGGAGTAAAAGGAGTTTCTAGTTTTGTGATTTTTGTTGGATTTCGAGACGTGGGCCCGGGGGCCGAATGTGAGCAAATTCGGGATTTTGGGTCTAATTTGATAATTTTCGTGTGGGTTTTGTTCCTTTGGCATGTATTGATGATATGATTCTGATTTTGGATAGATTCGGGGCGATTTGAGGCCGAGTCGAGACGCAAGAGCATCGCGGTGTAGATTTTCGTCCGATTTGAGGTAAGTAATGATTGTAAATCTAGTACTGAGGGTATGAAACCCTGGAATTTCGTGCTATTTTGATAAATGAGGTGACGCACATGCTAGGTGACGGGCGTGTGTGCGTGCACCAGTAGGGACTATGACTTGGCCCGTTCCGTGGCAATTGTAAAGTCGCATGTTTTAATAAACTCTATATGATATCTATGTGTTTTAGAAATGACTCTGTTAACTTGGGTTGAATATCATGTTTGGGGCTTTGTGTCGTACTGTTTGGACCCTCAGGGGTATTTTATTACTATCCTCGCACTGTTTTGATTCGAAAGCGTATCTTCAGTCATGATTTTTACCTATTTATTGTCTGATTCAGTTTCATTACTTTGTTTTTAAATATATGAAAGTTGTTTGGGCTGAGTTCCCTAATTTTTCACTGAAATGCTCGAGTGACTTGTGAGGTTGATGATTGAGAGAGGCCAAGGGCCTATTGGTGAGGATTATATAATAATGGATCGGGCTGCACGCCGCAGCGATATATATATATTCTTCCGGAGTTTGCACACCCCCAGTGAGCGCAATCGACTATATATTTATGGATCGAGTTGTACGCCACAACTGTTATTATAAGGTACCTATTGAGCGTGAGTGCTGAGTATGAGCGTTGATTGATGAGAGTTGAGTCACGAGTGACTGAGAAGCTTGCCCGAGGTGCTAAATATATATGAGTGATTGTTTGCCCGATGGACTTGTTTTTGTGAAATTACTATTTTCACTTTTTTTTATACTGAGCCTCTAATGAAAATGTTGAACAAATGTTTTAAACAACTATCATTGAAATTGAAATTTTTACGAGATGTTCGAAATTTAACTGTTGATCTGAACCTTGTTATTTTCACTGAGCCTTTATATTATGAATCTGTATATGATTTTAAATGCTCGTCACTGCACTCGGTCTTTATTTAACTTTATTACTTACTGAGTTGGCGTACTCACATTACTCCATGCACCTTGTGTGCAGATTCAGGTATTTTTGACCCCGGTAGCGGGTGTTGATTACTTAGTGGCAGGTTCATCGGAATTAGCAAGTTAACTGCCTGGCGATCACAGCCTTGCTTTCCTCCCTCCTTATTCTCCCTTAGTTGTATTCAGTGACTTTCCGCATTGTTTTTCTATTTTAAACACTTTGTAAAGGTTTATTGTTAAATAGCTTTGATTTTATCCTAAGAATGAAAATATTGATTGGTTTTGGAATTGTGTCGGCTGGCCTAGTTCCATGATAGGCGCCATCATGACTGGGTTGGTTTTGATGTCGTGACATGGACGAACAGTACGATGCCTGAACACTAAAGAATTGAGCATAATTGGTATACTTTCTTAGTGATTGTTTCAGATTTATGGAACTCTCAAATAGTTTAGGCATATCAGCTGCTTGTTAATCTGTGGAAGTTCTTAACTTTTGTGACTTGCTAGACTGTTTTGTGAATGTACTAGTGAATTATTTCCTTGACAAGGTATGTTCCTCTTGCGTGCTTGGTGCAGTCTTAAATGTTAGTCAATTTGCAATGATCATTAGAGTTTTATATTTCAGATATGGAATCTAGTGAAAATCAATAAGTGAGTTGGAGAAATATGGATGTAGTAAATTTTTTTTTAGAAACTTGTATTCAAAAAGTATCCTTAAACGGGAGACTTGGAAGTAGTTTGAAGCCGGATTTATGGAACAAGATTAAGCTAGCTTTGGAGACTTCTCATGGTTTTAATGTTACCCAAAAGCAGATGAAGAATCATTATGATTATCTAATACCATTCTAATGTCTACCAGTGAGTGCCAATAACTAAAAAAACTGGCAATATTTATGATCCAGCAACCAATACCATTCTAATGTCTATTAGTGAGTGGGATGAGTACATAAAGGTTAGTTCATTATTTAGTAAATTATTCTTCTTTTTTTCTGTAGAAAAATGGTTTGACGTGTATACTAAGAGTGTGATCTTATATATTTGGATATAGGCTCATCCAAAAACTAAGACACTGAAGACTTCACCTCTACCCTTTCCGGATCTGTAAAGCACTTAAGAATCCAAGTTGTACAAATCCCCGGCCTAGAGTCTCAAATTTATCAACTAATATAGATAAAAATACACTTGATGATGTTGAAGATCTACTTAGTGACAAAAATGATAGAACTAATATAATTCTGCAGTTCTAGTAGAAAGGAAAAATACAGGAAAGAAAAGAAAAATTACATCGTCTCAATTGGAAATTGATGATATGATGAGTACTGCTTTGGAGCTACTGATTAAAAAAAAATAGCGCACCTAATGTTGAGGAATGCATGATGAAATTAGAGGGACTTGCATGGGAAGAACCATTATATAGTGCATATGTTAGTATACTTTGTGAAGGTGATAGCTATAGGCAAGCATGGATACAAATGACAGAGGTCGACAAGTTGGAGAGTTGGGTCAAAGCCATGGGGAAAAAAAGGGGAATGCTTTAATTTCTCTAATTAGCTGGAATAAATATTAGATGTTGATTTTATGGAACATTTTCTTTATTTGTTTCCAGCTAGTATTATTATGGAACTTTGTGATACTATTTTATACTTATTGAACATGTTTTGTTCGTGAAATACACTTTTTGGTGTCTTGTTATGCTTGATGAGTACAAAATAAATTTTTATAATTATTTTATTTTGCTTCTGTTATTTTTTATGTTTGTAAAATATATACCATATTATGCTTACTATTGTTTATTGTATTTCTCCTTGTTAAGCAGATTGGACATGGTATCGATGATCAGATATTATTGTTGATGTACTTATATTGGCATAGAAACAATTATAAACTGGAGTATGATAAAAGAAATAAGGATTTAACATCGTCTTTATCTGGTCAAAAGTATACCTTAGAATTATTGTTGGCACTAGTCGACAATATATAGAATTAATGCACATGTCACGTGATGTATATGTTCGGCTATGTCAGCATTTTAGGTACAATGGATGGCTTATAGATAGTAAACATATATCTGTCGAAGAGAAGATAGCTATTTTCTTTATTATTATAGGACATAACGAGCGTTTTGTGGTTATTAAGAGAAGATTTCAACATTCATTGCAATCGGTTCACAAGTACTTTCATGAGGTTCTTGATGCAATGATGAAGTTTGCAAATGAGATGATAACACCTACTATATTTGATACGAATCTGAATATTCCTTGTGCTAATAACAGGTTACGAAGAATTTTTAAGGTATTTTTTGTCATATTATTTTTATAGAATTTCACAAAAAATAATTTTTTTTCATTACTTTTAACTTAATTTTATGTATTGGCAGGGAGCAATAGGTGCACTAGATGGGACATTAGTACATGATGTTATTCCAGCTAATCAACAGATTGTTTACAAAGGAAGAGGAAAGGGTAGATGTTATCAAAATGTTTTGGCAATATGTGACTTTGATAGGTTTTAAATGTTCTTGCCTTATGTTTTGACGATCTAACAAACTTACTGTTAAGAACCAGATAGGGAACCTGAACTACTCGGACTATACTGCAAGTTTAACGAATTTCAGCTATAGGTGAACTGCTACAGCTTCAGGAGCTAAGAACCCAAACAAGGAACTGATACCCTTGTGGTTTCCTCATCACAGTACAAAGTCAATTGGTCACAGCTGGAAATGAAGTGACTGATTGTACTATTTCTGTCGCACTGCACTGTCCAGCGCCCATTCATTCTCTGACCAACTAAAGTGCTCACATCATTTCAAGTGATGTGATCAAGGTGTATCTACAATGAGTTTACACAAAATATCACTTGAATGTTTCAGTTTCTTATTCAAGTTTCTAGCCAAAAACAGAGAAATCAATCCTCACAAGCTTGAAGAACAAAGTTGAACGCAACTACGGACCAATTCCTAAAAGATAGCTTGTTGTTATCCTAGTTGAGTTGTAACTTTGTGATTGTACTTATTGTATCTCCTAAACTGCTTAGCTAGAAGCGTTTGATTAGGAACCCTCTTGTAAATCAGTAAACTCCTTGAGTTTATGTTGTGACTAGGTTTAGTCATAAGCAAAAGTCTTTGTAATTGTAGAGTTACAAAGTGGCTTGTAGTGAGAGTATCACAAGTTAGTAAAAGTCTTTGTAACTAGGAAGTCACAAAGTGGCTTGTGGTAAGAGTACCACAAGTTAGTTGAGTAAATTCTTTGTAATGCAGTCATTGCAATATGACTTGTAATAGGTTTTTTACAAGTTAGTAAAGTTGAAAGCCTATAGGTGTAGGTCATGATTTTTTTATCCCCTTATGTGAGATTTTTCCACGTAAAAATTCTCTGCCTTATTTACGTACTGTTTTATTAGCATTCTCAGCAGAATCTTGTAGAGGACCAGGTACTCTACTGTTTGGACTCATACAAACTAACAATTGGTATCAGTGCAGGTTCCTCCTATCAGGCTAACACCTAGGAAAGATCTTCATGACTGCTCCACCAAATTTTGAAGAAGGTCAATCTACATACCGACCACCCAAGTTCAATGGACAATACTATGGGTGGTAGAAAACAAGAATGCACAATTTTATCATGGCTGAGGATTGTGAGTTATGAGATATCATATGCGATGGTCCTTATGTTCCAACCAAGGTACTAGAGGAACTTCCATTTTCAATGGCAAAAACCAGCAAAGAGTACACTAAAGCAGACAAGAAAGTTGTGGAGAAGAACTTTTGTGCCAAGAAAATTCTAGTGTGTGGAATAGGACCTGAAGAGTACAATAGAATCTCCACCTACGACACTGCCAAGGAGATATGGGAAACCTTGCAAACAACTCATGAGGGAATTGCACAAGTAAAACAGTTTAAGATTGATATGCTCACTACCAAGTATGAACTTTTTAAAATGAGGGACGATGAATCCATTTAAGATATGCACACAAGGTTCACTTCCATCATAAATGAGTTATACTCACTTGGTGAAACTATTCCCAGAAACAAGCTAGTGAGGAAAATATTCAGCTTTCTATCTAGCTCTTGGGAAAGCAAAGTGAATGCTATTACTGAATCAAAGGACTTACATGAGCTGACCATAGAAGAGTTGATCAGAAACTTGAAGACCTACGAGTTGAAGAGAAAGATAGATAATGAAAGAAGAGAACCAAAGAAGGAAAAGAACCTGGTACTTAAAGCTGATAACAATGATTCAAGTGAGGAAGAAAGTGACATGGTTTACTTAACCAAAAGATTTCAGAAGATGGTTAGAAGAAATGGAGAAATGCTAAAAAGGGACGGCTCTAATAGACTAGAAAACTGTGATCTTTGTTACAAGTGTGGAAAGCCTGGACACTTCATGAAAGACTGTCCTCTCTTGAAACAAGAATTCACCAAGAACTACCATGAGAAAATGGCTAAGACAAACCCGGTTCCCTTCAAGGACTTCAAGAGAAAAAGATCCATTGACAATATGATGAGACATGCTCTTGCAGCATGAGGGGTTCCTCTAGTGAGTTTGAAGATGAACCTGATACTGGTGATAGTTCCACGATGGCAGTTGAAGACGAGGAGATTGGATATGACTCAACTTTTGCTTTGATGGCTCAATCAGATGATGATGAAGACAATGACAACAAAAGGGTAAATTTCAAGGATGTTCAGAGAAATCTGAAATCCTATTCTCCAAAAAGACTCGTGTCTTTAGCTGATGTATTAATCACTGCTTTTCATAGTCTTGTGGAGGATATGGATTCTTTGACCTTAGAATTAGGAGAATCTGAACAAACTAGAGACGACTTAGTGGCTGTAGTTACTGACTATAAGAAAACCATTGAAATCCTCAGAAAAGAAAAGGATGATCTGTTGGCAGAAATTACAGACCTAAGGGAAACAACAGTGAAACCATGGACTAAGTCAAAACCTGAAAATTCTGGAAAGGGAAAGGAGATAGCCAGTGAGGAACACATTAGGCTTGAAAATGAGGTGAAAGCTATGAGATCTAGGATGTCTGCTAAAATTGAGAAAAACGAGCAACTCCAAACTAATCTGGAAAGAGTAAAGAATGATTTGAAAAGTCCCTAAAGTGGACCTGGTCCTTAGAAGCTACCGCTGCCTTGCATACTAATGATTGTGAAAACAGGCAGGGAATAGGGTTCCAAAGGGAGAAAACTCCTCACAACCCTCACAGCAAGTTCGTCACTGTCTCTGATAACTGGACTTGTACCCAGTGTGGGAACACTGGGCGCTTTAAGGAAGATGTCCAGGCCAAGAATCAATCAATTCAGAAAAAGAAAGTGTTTGCTGAAAAGGTGACTACAAAAGAGGGACCAGGTACCACTTACAAAAAATGCACATTACCTACATGGACTAAGAGAACTCTTATTCATCCTCTTGCCTACTACAAGGGACCCAAACTTGCGTAGGTTCCTAAAACTAACTCTTAATCTCTTGTGCAGGTAACAGTGAAAGGAAGCGGTCAACAATGGTTCATGGATAGTGGGTGTTCAAAGCACATGACTGGGAACACTACATACTTTCTTTCACTAAAAGCCCTGCAAGGAGGGAGTGTATCCTTTGAAAATGAAAAAAAGGGTACATTCTTGGAGTTGAAAAAGTCGGGAAGTCACTCACTCATTCTATTGAAAATGTGTACTATGTCAATGGCCTTAAGTACAGTCTCATAGTGTCTCTCAAATCTGTGACAAAGGAAACAAGGTGGAATTCTGGTCCAAAATATGTACAGTCTCTAATCTTGTGGCCGGTGAAATAGTACTTGTGGCCAAAAGATACAAGAACATCTATGTTGTTGATTTCGAGTCCTTACAGAGTGGTGATCTGAGGTGTCTGAAAGCTGTTGATGATGCTGCTGAATTATGGCACAGAAGACTAGGCCATGCAAATTTTTCTCTTCTGAACAAACTAATTCAGAAGGACCTGGTCCATGGTCTGCCTATGTCGCAATTCAAGATGTAAAAAGTCTGTGATGTCTGTGCTAGAGGAAAACATGTGAAGTCCTCTTTTAAGTCTAAAAGAGATGTGAGCACCTCAAAGCCACTAGAGCTTCTGCATATGGATCTGTGTGGACCTGTGAGAGTGCAAAACAGATGAGGAAAAAGATACATTTTTGTGATAGTAGATTACTACTCCAGATTCACATGGACTCTGTTTCTCAGAACCAAAGATGAAACTGTTGAGGTGTTTGTGGCCTTTGTGAAGAAAATTTAGGTGAAGATGGAGTCTAGAGTCGCATGCATTAGATCAGATCATGGGACAGAATTTGACAATGTCAAATTTGATGAATTCTACAATGAAAATATCATCACTCACAACTTCTCAGCTCCCAGAACTCCCCAACAAAATAGAGTAGTAGAAAGGAAGAACAGAACTCTGGAAGAAATGGCAAGAATAATGTTGATCGATAGTGGAATTGCAAAGAATTTCTGGGCTGAAGCTGTTAACACTGCTTGCTACTTGGTGAACATGTACATGATCAAATCACTTCTGAACAATACCCCATATGAATTGTTGAATGGAAGGAAACCCAAGCTGACTCACCTAAGAACATTTGGGTGCAAATGCTATGTTCTCAACAATGGAAAGGATTAGCTTGGTAAATTCGATGCCAAGAGTGATGAAGGAATATTTCTGGGCTACTCTTCTCAAAGCAAGACTTACAAGATATATAATAAGCAGACTCAATGTGTTGAGGAAAGTGTCCATGTTATTTTGATGAGTCTTATCCATCATATGAGAAGAGTGCTGAGGAAGAACAAGATGGAGAACCCTTACTAGTCCCTGGTGAAGTCATTAACATGACAAATGGAAAGGCAAATATGATGAGTCAAGTAAAGGAGCTAAATGAAGACAACACTGCCTCATCTTCAATAGAACCAAGTACCTCAATTACAACCACTAAAGCTGAAGAAAGAGTGGTTGATACAGTTCAGGGAACTCCACTAGCACCTGAGAGAAGGACAGAGGAATATCAGCCAAACATACCCTCTTCCTCTCAGAATGAACCTCAGGCATTTAACTGGAGACACCAAAGCTCTCATCCAATAGACAACATTATTACTCCTTTAGATTCCGGAGTACAAACCAGGTCACAGAAATTCACTTGCCTTCTCATCCTTTCTCTCCTAGATAGAACCCAAAAATATCAAGGAAGCCTTGAAAGATGCAGATTGGATTACAGCCATGCAAGACGAGCTACATCATTTTGAGAGAAACAATGTGTGGCACCTGGTACCTAGACCCCCAGATCGAATCATTATAGGAACTAGGTGGGTATTCATGAATAAGCTCGATGAACATGGAATTACCACAAGGAACAAGGTCAGGCTAGTGGTCCAAGGCTACAATCATGAGGAAGGGATTAACTATGATGAAACGTTTGCTTCAGTGGCTCGCATGAAAGCTATTAGAATTCTAATCGCTTTTGCATCTCATATGGAATTCACCTTGTTTCAAATGGATGTCAAGAGTACATTTTTGAATGGACTCCTTAAGGAAGAAGTTTATGTGAAGCAATCCCTAGGGTTTGAATGTCATGAGCACCTTGAATATGTGTTTAAACTGGAGAAAGCTTTGTACGGGCTAAAGCAGGCTCCTCGAGCATGGTATGAAATGTTGTCAAAGTTCCTCTTGGAAAATGGATTTAAAAGAGGGAAAATTGACAACAGTCTTTTCTTAAAAAAACGAGGAAGGAACCTGCTCATTGTTTAGGTCTATGTTGATGATATCATTTTTGGAGCAACAACTGATTCTCCATGTGAAGAATTTGCAAAACTCATGAGAAGTGAATTTGAAATGAGCATGATGGGGGAACTGAACTTCTTCTTGGGTCTTCAAGTAAAACAGTCCCCAAAGGGTATATCCATTTGTCAGCAAAAATACATCAGGGAGCTCTTGAAGAGGTTTGACATGGAAGCATCAAAGGTGATAGACACTCCCATTGCTACTGCCACTCGACTGGACATGGATGAAACTGGATCTCCTGTGAATCAAACCATATATAGAAGAATTATTGGGTCTCTCCTCTATCTCATTGCTAGCAGACCTGATATTGTTTTTAGTGTAGGGCTGTGTGCACGGTTTCAATCAAATTCCAATGAAT